CACCCGGGGCCTCATGGCTCGCTCACCTTGGTTTTCTATTGAGCGTCACTCCACCGTGGCCCAACCCGACCTTATACTACCCTGATGCTGTGGCCACAGCCCTGGGAGCCCCCAGCCTGGACCACTGTCTCCTCCCACGACACCTCACATGGGAGGGAGATGATGCCAGATTTTTTGTTTGTCCTTGTCTATCTCACCACAGTAAGCTGCACGAAGACGGGCATTTTGCGGGCATCAAGAACCTAAAACAGTACCTGGCACATAGTGGGTGCTTAGCCAGTACTGGTCGAATGTGTCCAGACGGCCTGTCTGGGGGGTGGGGGAGGGATGGGGGAGATGGAGAGAAGGCACCTGCAGGTGTCAGGACCGCCTCTCCTGAAGGCTCTATGGAGGCACCTGGCCCAGCCGGCTTGGTCGGGCCCCAGGGTGGGGGTCCCTGAGCCCCCTTCCTCCCGCCCAGCCACGGGGCTGCCCCAGCTGCAGGGTTTCCGTTCCACTCCCCGCCCCCGAGGGCCTCAGGCGTGCAGGGGCCGGGGAGGCGATGCAGCTGCTGGAGGAAGCCTGCGGTCGGAACATGCCGGGCGGGGGGTGACACGGGGGAGGGGCACTGAGGTGCAGCCGGCCTTCCCTGGCCACCCCAGGCTGTCTGCCCGGGCTCCCATTACAGGAGCAGGTAAGGGCCCATCTCAGGGACCTTCAGGGGAGCCAGGCTGGTGTGGGACATTGGGACCATAACCTTGAATCCCAGAGAGCCCAGCTCTGGGATGAGAGAAAGGCTCCCAGGGCTCAACTCAGCCCCGGGGCTCCAGCGGGGGTCCTTCCCTGGCTCCTGGGGCCCACATATTCCGGCCCAGACTCCTGTGGCCCCTACCCCAAGAACCCAGGGGCCCCAGCGCTCACCATTGGTCCACCGGCCCCTCCGTGCTGGCGCCCACCTCCAGCTATGGCGGTGGTGAGCGAGAAATGAGCTCTTGGCTCTCAACTGCAGCGAGGGGTGACCTGACGCTTCCGCTTCCTGCCTACAACCCCACCCACGCCTCCCGGCCGCAGGACCCCAGGCCCGTGGCCTCTCAGGACCACCCTGACCCGCACATCTTCAGTCTCCAGAAGAGGCTCCTTGACCCCTGGATGGGCCTGTGGCCAGGCCTCCAAGGGGAGAAACCAGGCACCAGTTCAAAGCAGGGCATGGCCTCGGTTTCCCTGCCTGCCAGAGTTCAGGGGAGCAGTGTCTCTGGGGCTGCTCATGGCCCCGGACCTTTCTCTCATCTGTGACTCCCGGGACCTCACCTTTCCCCAGGTTTCCAGACTTCCTTTCCCACCCCC